TCACCAGCCTCACTTTCTCCACCAGAGCCATCTGGGCCCAGTGGCAAGATACAGATCAGGACAACTGGAGATGGCCCAGGATGCAGTGGGGGACCTTGGCCTTTTTAAGCTAAGGTCTTTAACAGGTCTCAGTTTCACTGAGGCAAGGTCCATTCAGTGATTAAGGCTAGGTAAGAAATGAGACAAAGAACGGCCTCTTTCCCTAGTCAAGAAAAAACAAAATCAATCTGGGAGGGGAAGACCCTGAGGGTTTCTGGCCAAAACAGCAACAGTTGCTATTTACATTCACTCTGAGCCAACGGGCCCAAACAATGACAAGGTAGGGCTTGGGCTGGGGCGGATTGTTGGCCTATCAATGACAGCCAGAGTGATCTGGGTTTAAGGCTTGGTCCTTAAGAAACAAATGTAGCCCATAAACCCTAAAATATCTGGTGAGGTTTCAGCAATCCAAATTTACATTCCTTTGGGCAGAGCACCCGCAGGTAAGGGTATTATATACCCTGTGTAGATTGTGGAAGGGGGAGAGGAGAGGTGAGGAGATACATAGAAGAGGGAAGAAGGAAGTTTAGAACATGATACAGGTAAAGGTAATGCAAAAACTTTGGTTTTAGATTTAATATAAACTCTAAAACGAAGTATTAAAGAGGTTCACAGTTTTATATGCAATCCTCTTTTCTTATATGGAAATGTTTGTGTTGGCTGTTGTTTGTCTAATCCATCTTTTTTTTTTTAATTGCTTAAAGAAACACACACACTACCACCCTGAAAAACTCACTCTTCACTAAGCTAGTTCACTCAAGGCCAGTATTCCATCAACTAAAAAAAAAGTCATTGTCCTCCAGCTGCCTGCTGCACCCTCAGAGAAAGAGCCAAGTCCAGGGGTGCTCCCTTATGCTGTTTTGTATTGCTGTGCCTCATAGGGTACATATTTCTAGACGTCCTCATGATGGAGTAATTATCTTTATGTAGCATCCCTTCTGGGTCTGCTCCCCAAACCTACACTCAGAGTCAAACCCCAGATGTGGAAGAGCAGCTGACTTGGGGTTCTAAGACCTGTCTGAAGTTTCCGGTTCTCAGAAGCCCCCACTCCTCTGCTTCCCGTTGATTATCAGGTAACGGCTTCAATTAGAAAAAGGATTTATTCAATTTAGCAAAGGGGATGGCGTAGTATGTCATCCCCTGAGATGACAAAGTGAGAGCAGTTGGTACAAAGAACGATTCCCCCAGAAGTATGGGGCATACTCTCCCACAGAACACACGGGGTCCGTACAGGGAGGTGGCACAAAGTACAGTGATGGTGAGAGAGATGCAAACTCATGAGTGACAGAGGGGTGACTGACTCATCGCTTCTACTTACTTGAAGTTCATTCCTGATTCTTGGGCAGCATTTTTCTCTGATAGGGAGAGATCATTCTTCTTGAAGTTGCTTCCTCTCACAGGTAACTACCTTTCTTGGTTAGGTGACCCTATTTGTCCTGGGTGCATACTCTAAATCCACTGCCAGCTACTGGTCCCACCTCTCCATTAACATAATCAATGGCCAGGGGGAGACTGGACATGTAACAATCCCTCTGGGCTCGCTCCCCCACCCCCACTGATGCCCTTTGGTACTGGCACAAGAGTCTGCTACTTTAAGACTCTCCTGAATCTAGAATCTTCTACCATTTGACTGTTTCACCATTGGAATGTATCTTTCATACTGGCTATCCTTTTATTCATAATCCCAGATGTATATCTGATCCTTTCAGCCAGACACATGACATTTCCTGTGCAATGTCATCTGGCTTGTCCAATGAGCTATTTAAATATTCTTCACTCCATCCAAATTGATTCAGGACGTGTTTGTACCAGTTTACACATCTGATTTTTTTTTTTAACTGATTGATTCAGTACAGCAGTCTGGGTATTCTGTGTTTACATTAACCATCCTTCTTAGATATAAGAGCTAGCTTTCAGAAAAAAATGTGGAGTAGAAGTTTGTCTTTGATTCCCTATCAAAGTGTATTTCCACCTTCCTTGAACTTATCCTACTCTTCAGGTATTTATTCTGTGCCCCATTCTTGCTTTTAAGTGGTTGTAACCGACTCCCTCAACTATACATCTGAAGGTGGGAGCCTTCTCAGAATCACTCCTATTTTTGAGAGATACTCTTAAGAAAAAAAAAAAGTATGAATGGCACAAAGAAAAAAGTCATAATGATGCAGAGATAAATGAGAGGGCAGGGACAAGCTGCAGTCTCCTCCACTACCTTGTAAGTAGATGGCTGCTACCACATAAAACCAGCCTTATTGTATACTGACCACTGATGCAAAAATGACACATGCCTGAAAAATGACTTTCTATACAGGGATACGCTCTCACATCTCTCCACTGCAAAAGTCACCTCTCTATAAAAAGTTGTGCTGTTTTGTATCTCAGGTCCTCCTCCAGACTTAAGTTACTACAGATTTAAGTATTTCTAACCAAAAGCACCATCCCTTCCCCCAGAGAGTCCAAAATCTCAGCTGTGATTCCATCTCAAGCCACCCCTGATACCTGTGTGTAACTATTATGTAGCTTCTCTCTTGTTATTCCTCTCAGACAGATCTGTCCAGTGATTTCTCTGTGGAGTCAAGACGTAATTATTGATGCCAACCACTGTGTTAAATGCTAGGGATATAAAGAGAAGAAAAAAGATAGGCTCTGTCCTCAAGGGGTTTGCATTCTAATTAAGGGAAAAGAGCACAGTAACAACAGTGGTCAAGTACCATCTTCTACACAAAGCTTCTCCTGATACCCCAGCTGCTAGTGCCATGTCTAACTACTTTTGCATTTAATATTTAATTTAATAAAATTTAATAAAATACCTTACTTTTCAGTTTGTATTTATTCTAAATATGTTCAGTGTAATGAATTGGATAGAGAACCAGCCTTGGAGCCAAGATAACCTGCCTCATAACACACACTAACTCTATGAACGCGGACAAGTCACTCAGTGGTGTAGGCAACTAAGTCAGCAAGCATTTATCAAGTGCCTGTTATGTTCTGAGCACTGTTTTGAGTGCTGAACCTACAAAGAAAGGGAAGAAACAGTCTTTGCCTTCAAGGATCTCATAGTCTAATATGGGAGACAATAATTATGCAAATAATTATGTACAACCAGGCTCTATACGCAACTAAGCCTATAAGTTGCAGGAAAGATGCCAAACATAGATGTAGGTAGAGTTTGTTTATCTGGGAGTTCCCTATACTAATGAAATCACAAGTCTGATCGGTCTCTGTCCCTATATTTAGTCAGTATATACTTACATGTGTACATTTTGTCTCCTCTTATAGAACATTAGTTACTAAAGAGCCGGAATTGTTTCCTTTTTTATCTTGTCATCTCCAGTGCTCAGAACAGTGCCTGGCATAGAATAGGTACTTAATAAATACTTGTTGATTGATATATCTTGCGTGTGTGTGTGTATGTGTATATATATATATATATACACATACACACACATGTGTATATATATGTGTGTGTATATATACACATATATATGTGTGTGTGTATATATACATATATGTGTGTGTGTGTATACATACATACATATATATATATATGTATGTATATATCCTCCTAGACTCACAGTACCCATAGTCTAAATGTCACATGCTTGGAATGTGATCTCCTTTGTCTTTTCCCTCTAACTACCCTGAAATGCCACTACCTTGAAAAAGCCTCTGAACATTTGTGAAGGGTGACAGTTCCCCCTACTTTCCCCATGTCTTCTGAAAACCAGATTTCCTCAACCATCAATCACCACTCTAACTTTCCATTAGCTTGCATACAATGTAAATATTTAATCTTAGTTCTTTCTCTATCTGTTCAGTGTTTATTTAGTGGTCTCCGAAATCATAGATGAGAATAAGGCCGAAGAAATCTGTGGATTTCAGTTACCCATGGTATATACACTATATTTTTACCTACTGTGGCGTTATCTGAGTGAGGTTGTAACCCCAAAAGTACAAGGACTATTTTGTTTAACTTATATGTCATCCAGTGCTGCACAGAGTAGGTACTTACTGAAGGCTTTTGAACAGAGATGATGACCAAAGTTCCCCTGAACAAATGTAGTTGGAAAGGGTGAAGGGGAGAGAGAAAGAGGGAAAGAAAGAAAGAGGGGGAGAGAGAGAGTCCCAGTTCACTTTTTCATTAATCTAATTCATTCAACAAACATTTATTAAGCAACTCATATGTGCAAAACATTGCCTTCATCTCTAAGGAAGCAAAGACAAAAAAAAAAAAATAGTTCCTGCTCTCCAAAGGCTTCCGTTCTCCTGTTAATCTAATCAGTCATTTGAATAACCTTCACATTACTTTGCAGAGTGGCCAAGCAGAAGGAGACAATTTAGTTGAAATGCTGGTTCTGTAACTTACCAGATGAGTGACTTTCAACAATCACTTTACTTCCCCAAGATTCCACTTTCTTATCTTTAAAATGAGTATAATAACACTTGCACTAACTGCCTCATGGGCTACAGAAAGAAAAGCACTTCCCATGGTTGCTACCATTCTTGTTGTGATCCACTTAAGGGAGTTAATTATTTTATGGTAAATAGTTTTACCAGAGGAGAGATTCCGAGAAACAGACCCAAGTTAGGCTTATACTGTAGCCGTTCAGAAGGGAGAGGGAATACAGAGAGGCCTACTTTTGGCTTGAATAATGCGGGGAGAATCAAGCTCCGACCAAGGGAAGCCAATTGTCTATTGTTCCCTGAAAACTTGCCATTAATTGCTAAATGACCGATTGGCTAGGATCACATTACTACTGAAGTGGTACCATCTTGTACCGTGTTGCTTTCTGTATTGTATTCGTGCAGATGAACTATTCTCTGATGTTTATTAGCTAGTTAGTCCTGGTATTCCAGAAGACAAGGATTTAACTTTGCAGATGACTCTTTATAAACATGTTTATCAGTTGCCTCTTAAACTCAAAGCAGGAAACCTTTAAACAACATGTATTCTTTACCTCCAGCAATGCATCTATTTGGCCTCAACTGGCAATTACAACAAACTGAAAATGACACTTTTGAGAATGGAAAAGTGAATGCTGACACCTTGCCAACAAACACTGTATCGCTACCTTCCGGCGACAGTGGTAAGAGATGCACTTACTTGTTCTTTGTCTTGTTTAACATTTCTTTTAATGTGTTTTACAGTCATGTTTGTGTCTACTTCGTGGGGAGTGGGTTGGGTCTGAGGGGAGTGGTTACCAAAAGAGGAACTCAGTAACAACAAAAAAACCCATTACAAAGAATTTAAAATGACAAAAAAACAGTGTTTGAATATTTTTTTGGGGGTTAGGCAGTGGGGTTAAGTGACTTGCCCAGGGTCACACAGCTACTAAGTGTTATGTGTCTGAGGCCGGTTTTGAACTCAGGTACTCCTGAATCCAGGGCTGGTGCTCTATCCACTGCGCCACCTAGCTGCCCCTGAATATTTTTTTAAAAATCATTTTACTGAAAAAATAGGAATGACTTTTCTTTTTAAATAATCAAAGTAATGAAATTACATCACCCTCAAGTTCATGAATTGTGCCTCTTTTTGTCCCCAATGTATGTTATTTTTAGCCTAAGAGTGAAATAGATCATAGTCAATATCTCAAAACCTTTACTCATTTTATCATGGGTATATTAAATCTTCCTTAATATCCATAAAGTTAAAATACTGTATTAATTTTCTTAGTGATGCCATTAAGGTACAAATTATATTAAAGGGCTGTATTTTAATTGACCTGTTTTCTAGGTCCCCTTTAAGTTTCTCTCAACCTGGGAGTTTTTGTACTTTAGACTAAGAGAGATTTTTAAATAAATAGACTCTGAATGTAAAGGTGGGTTTAAATGGTCCACTCCAAATATCCCAACTGTGCCCTGCTCCAGCCATCTTTTCCTGTCTCTTGGTAAACAGGTTGAATCTGCCCTGGAACAGCTCTGTCTCTCTGTCCCTGTCCCTCCTTTTCTCTAGCTCTCCTTCTTTATTTCTCTTATCCTTTGGCATCTGTTAATGGCCAGCTCTAAGTGGGTGGCTTCCTTACAGGGGTGAGGAAGAAGCTATTAGATTCTTAATGAACATATATGCTGTTCTACACACACACACACACACATACACACACACACACACATACACACATGCACGCACATCTGCTATGACTCATGCTTTTTGTCATTTTTCATCCCTCTCCTCATCTTGTTTTATTATAACAATAATCCTTTGTGTCATGCCTCCTACTCCTTAGGGATGATAGAGAGTTTTATGAGACATTCGATTTTCATAATCGTAATGAATGGTCTCTACATGGGGCCTTTTCAGAGAAAGTGCCCCCTGTTCCTTAAACATTATAAACTCATGGCTGAAAGTTGGCCACATCTGAATTAGGAGGTAACTGCTGCTCCAAAATGCTTTAAAGGGGTGACGAATGACTTCCCTAATTGAAACTGCAGGTGGGAGATTTTAATTAAGGAAAGTATAATTACCTTAAACAAATGCTTAATTACTCTGTAGTGATAACACATATATAAACATCTAAAGCAACTGCCCATAAAATGAATAATATTTATTCTAGCTCCCTCCCCCAATTCCACTCTTGTAAGGTCAACAAGGCCCCAGCATTGACTCCTATGAAAATTATAAAGGGACAGTTAACCCCTTGTTGAAAATTCTGTAATTAGGTGATCAAGGGTCTTGAGTGCCACAGAGATAGAATGACTATATAAGATATTTTTGCATCACAGACCCAAGGAAAATCCCATAACCTTGGTGTTGGTTATAATCCCTCCTTAGCTCTGGCATTGCCCCTCCCTTCTAAGCCTGTAGGAACTTAAGAGATAGGCTCACAGCTGTTCACAGAGTTCTCTCCAAATGGAAACTGATTCAAGAAATTAGAAAGTATGCCTGAAAGAACTGGAATTTGAGAGGATACACATCAGTTGGGGGATGCCTGAACAAATTGTGTGATATGATTGTGATGGAATACTGTTGTGCTGTAAGAAATGACAAGCAGGATGATTTCAGAAAAACTTGGAAAGACTTACATGAACTGATATAAAGTGAAGGGAACAGAACCAGGAGAGCATTGTACACAGTTACAGCAGTATGGTAAGGATGATCAACTGTGAAAAACTTAGCTACTTTGATCAAGATAATTCCAAAGGGCCCATGCTAAAAAATGCTATCCACCTTCAGAGAGAGAACTGGTGAACTCTGAGTGCAGATTGAAACATACTTTTTTAACTTTATTTTTCTTGTTTTATTTTTTTATCTGTTTTCTTTTGCAACATTGCTAATATGGAACTATGTTTTACATGATTTCACATATATGATTGATATCAAATTGCTTACCTTCTCAAAGAAAGGTTTAGGAGGAAGAGGGAATTCAAAAATTTTTTTTCTTTTTTAAAAAAACATTTTACTTTTTCCAGATTGCATGTAAAAATAATTTTTTAACATTCATTTTTTTTCAATTTTTAGACATTTTTATTTTAAGTTTGGAACTCAACATTTTTAAGCAATTATTAAAAATTTTACATGTAATTGGGAAATATTTAATGAAATAAATAAAAACATTTCTTTTAAAAAAGAAGAAAGTATTGCCTGGATGACCTCAGTTAAGCAAGAGCCCATGAGGACCTCTCTTTTATAAGTAGAATCAGACTCCTGAAGATCCTGTAGAATCAACTCACTTCCTTATAATTTCTCCAGTTTTAGGAGATGGTCTAGGTACAGAAGATAATTCTATGAAAGTTCTATATAGAAATGAGCCCTCTGGTCTGAGCCTTTTCCAGGCCACAGACTAAGCTGATAGACCCTAAATCATTGCTGAAAGTGACTTATCACCTAATGACTGGTTACACATAATTGTAGAGAGGGGAATATGTTTATATGGTTGTAACTGTGTGCCAGGCATCGTGATAAGTGCTTTTTACAAATATTATCTCATTTGATCCTCACAGGCACCCTGTGAGGTAGTAGGTGCTATTATTATTATCCCCATTTTATAGTTGAGGAAACTGAGGGAAAGTTATGTTAGGTGACTTGCATCTGAGGCCAAATTTGAGCTGGGGTCTGACTGACTTCAGGCCCAGTGCTCTATCAATTGTGTTACCAGCTGCCTCATTGTATCAGAAAGGGAAAACAATCTAGTCTCTTAAAAATTTGAACCATCTTCTTTGGGAGTGGCAGAAAAGATAGCTCCAGCCCTTGAGCAAAAGGGTAGTTGGGAAGAAACCAGTTCCCTACCCCCTTGTAATTCCTCTGCTGGGTTTCCTTTCCCCCATTGTTCCACGTGATGAATATATGGGCAAAAATTACCTTTCCTGTATCAAGGATACATTCAGGGTAGATGCCTATAGTTCAGATTTCACCCTAGGTCTACCAGTGCCCAGCAGGACATACTAGTAAGTATTATAGAATCACTGTTTTGGAGAAATCGTCTTACATATGAGCTGTTTCAGAGATTTTTTTAAAAATCCTATCCAGTTTTTAAAGATCTCCAGGGAAGGAGCTTCCACAACTTCTTTTAGTAACCTCATCTAGTCATTAACAACCCTCCCTATCAAGAAATTCGTGGAGCCTTGAATTGAGCACAGTAGGAACCTAAGCAGTGCTGAGTATAATGAGACAATTACTTCCCCGTTCCGAAAAGACATACTCCCATTTATGCATCCCGATGTTACGTATTCTTGTTTTTTAAATAGAACTCTAAGGAACACCTCGTGGTGCTAGGAATTCAGCAGAGAAATCTCTTTTCTCTGAGGTAATATTGAGCAGGGCTTCTACGTGGCATTTCAAGAACATTTGCAGAATGTTGAATGGAACCTGTCCTGCCTGCTTCCCATGAGGGTCCTGGGTCCTAGATGGGCTTTGAATGTTAACGATAAACAGTGCTAGTGTTTGAAAACACAAATAACAGCACAGAAGTTAGATGGGGGAATGAAAGGAGGCACCCTGGCTCTTTCAGAAAGTCTGAGTTCAAATCCCACCTTTTACCCTGGCTACCTATATCTAGGCGTCTGTTTCTTCGGTCAATAAAATGAGGTTGTATTAGATGGAGTCCTTGACAGCTCTCAGATCTATAGTTCTATCTATAATTCTAATAAAAGGGACAAGAATAGAAAAGAATAGAGTTGAGTCATTCCAGCAAACTCTACTGTCTTTCCAGAAACAGAAATAACTCCCCTGGACCATGGGGGAAAGGTAATGGGTGACCTGCATCTATCTGACCCTGTGCCCAAACACTTGTAATCTCTGTACTGGAGAATACATTAATCATTAGCTTAGAATAGTTTGGGATATCAATTAAAAACCTAATCATACTTCTGCAAAACCTAGATGTTATCGTGCAGTGACCCAACTTGCTGAGAACAGAGTACTTTCTGGCTGAAAGGTTGCCTGGGTTTTATAGAAAGAATCCCTTCTGTGGATAGAGCATTGGCTCTGGGGTGAGGAGGATCTGAGTTCAAATTTGACCTCAGACACATAAAAACTCCCTAGCTGTGTGACTCTGGACAAGTCACTTAACCCCAATTGCCTGACATAAAAAAAAAAAATCCCTTCCATTGATAATGTATAAGTGTAAGATGTCTGGATTTCTCCTGTTGGAAGGCATCTTGAATTCAAAGCCCCTTTTAAACAAGCAGTAATTTCATTTCAATAGTGAGATAAGATATATGCAAAATTTCAAAAGAATATGTGGAGTTATGATAATAAAAGGCCATTATTTGAAGGTAGGTAAAATGGGAAAAGTGTTGTCAGGAATAAAGTCCTTGAAGGCAATGAGTGTTTTATTTTTGTCTCTACACAATTGCACTGCCACACACATAATAGGTGCTTTAAAATGCTTTTTGAATTGAATTTAATATAGTCATCATCTAATGAATGTGCCATTAAATAAACTCATTGTACTTATATAGTATGGAAAAAAACCTGATTTTCCTTTCTAAGCAAAGAAATGCAAATTCTATATAAATTTTGCATAATTACTCTTAAGCTAATAATTTTCCCTAACACTAGATGACTTCAAAATGCTATACAACCATTTGCAGCAGGCTAAAGATTGAATGTAAATTAAAGAGCATTATGACTAACTAGCCAGCGATACATTGAGTTTTTTTCAATATTGTTTATAGTATTTTGTGTTAATGTAATGTATAATGGTTCCTTAATTAGATGTCATATTGATTTTTTTTCTATTAAATTATGTTTGCAAGGCAGTGGGTTTTTTATTTCACTTAGGTTATGTCTATGGAATTTATTAACAGCATTAACTTATACTATGTAATTGTTTATAGAAGGTGATGGAGAATGTTCATTCAGATATCACACAAAGGTCTGAATCCAGGTTTAGATCATGGGATTGGAAGATGTGCTATTGATTGTATATTAAGGGTCTGGCCTTGCTTTCTGACATTCTAATTAGTGATGCCTCTGAAGGACTTGAAGTTATAGTATCATTTATACTTCACTCAGTTGTAGTTAAGTTTTGGGGATTTTTTGTTTTGTTTTTGCTTTCTCTTTCCCTTTTTCTTTAGAATTTTAAGCAGTGTAGGGATATAAATCCACATGTTAGGCAAGTAGTAAATATGCAATACTGTAAATATGTAATACATTTTTAACTTTTTGTAATTTTGGATGCTTTTCAAATGTAAATTAAGTCTCAAACAGGTCTCAAGCCTCCTAATTATCAGCATAGTTTTAAATACTCTGATTAGCTTGAGTTCTGTTGGGTTTTGAGTTAGATTTAGCTGAAAACTAACATTTTCCCCGGTCTACAAATTCCTGTGTGCTAAATGATTTTTATAATGCCATCTCCCTTGCCCCCCACCTCTTTTAAGCTACCTAAAAATGTCAGTTTGTTGATGTGTTGGCATATAAAATATCACAAAAGAGAAAGAAATAACAATAGCTTTGCATGTGTGTGTCTCAGTTTTCACACTGACAGCTATATTTTAAGACATTAAGACTGTTGTGATACATACTTACTAATGAAAGGAAAATCTCGAATTGGAAAGAGACAGAATGCTAGTATTCCCACATTCCTGCTTCAGGGGACACATTTAGAAAGTCTTGAAAGCGTTACTCTATTGTGTTTCAAGATGTGGTATAGTTTGACCTTTACTGCAAAGACTTTGATTGGCATGATTCCAAACTTACGTGCTTTCAGATGAGAATAATGGAAGATCCGTTATGGCCCCATCTCTTTTTTTTTCCTTTATCTTTCCACCATCTTTTCTTTCTGAAAGTTGTAGACATCTCGAGTGTTGCTTGGGGAGTGGCGTGGGAGGAGAAGCCTGCAGATTCAGGCACTGGGGGCTATAGTGTGTTCTGTAAGGAATGAAAGGGATCTCTAGGACTGACCCAGCTTTTGTATGTCCTCTGATAATGAAGGCTTTCTGAAATTCAGGGTGTGATGAGTGATTCCTGTGCCCGAGCTTCTCTGTAGGTGGAGGAATAGGCAACAGTGAATTAGGATATAGAATTGTTTTCCCAGTTTATCAATCTGTGTCCAGAGCCTGCTGACTTCCAGGTGTGTTTACAATCAATAGGGAGCATTGGGAATGCTAAGATCAACTACCACACCTGGTTTGACCAAATTAAAGTACTGTGACTTAAAGATCAGTAGTGCCAAGCTGTTAGTTCTAAGTGAGAAGGGATTTACCAAGACAAGAACCCTCCGCAGCAAGACCACAGCCTCCTGAAGCTCAGACCTGAAGGCTACATGCAGGAAGGTTGAACTAATCTAAACTGCTGGGCTTAGGGCATTGAAGGAAATGAAAATTTTATAGTGTCTGTATTCCTTCCATTGTAATTGTGGATTCTAATGAGAGAATATACCTACACCTGTCTTTTAAAATCGTCATATGGCAAAAAACAATCTTAATTCATAATCAATTGATTCACTACAGCAGGTGTGATCTGTAGGAGGTCCACATTGTCTGGTCAGGCATTATCTATTTCATTTCTAGAGGTAATCCAAAGAATCATCACATGTTGATAATCTGAATTTACAGGGGATAAGCATTGTTATGAATGTTCCCAAATAGCACATAATATAAAAGTAATTTCTATGTGACTCAAAAGTGTGCATAGATCATGTGTCAGAAAATATTGGGGGAACATTCACATTGGCCCTTTCCTTTCTTTTCAGGGGCCAATAGGAATGCTTCCCATTCAACCAAGGTTCTGGGTTCCCTTATGGTCTGACTTCAGAATATATTATATGATTTGGAAAGGGGAGCAGGTTGACTTTCCTAATTTCCTAGAAACTCACCAACAAAGGAAGTTGCCCCAATTGATCCATAAATATACCAGGTAGCCCACAAAAACTAGCCCAGATTTGTTTATTTGTTTATTGTTGGGTATATTTAGTGCATCAAGTGGATAATCCACAGGTTTAAAACCCCTTGAGGATAAGAGTTGTACCGTACTTCACCTTTGACCCTTAATACTTAGCATAGCCCACCTAGGAGCATAGTGGGCTCCAAGTATTTATTAAGTGAAAATGAAAAGTGAAAAAGAGATTGTTACTATAGAATCCTAGAACGTTAGAGCTAGATGGACACTTAAAAATCATTTAGTCCAGAGGGCAGAACCAAGATAGCTGAGGATCTGGAAGGAATACAGCCAAAGTCCTCACCACACTTTCCTCCACAAAGATCTGGAAAGCCCACTAGATCAAATTGTGATTGGGAAATTAAAAAAAATCAATAGTGAGTTATTTTTCCACCCAGGTGAGCAAAGAGAGATGGAGAGGTCTGCAGACCCTGGAGATTGAGTGTGGCCAGGGGCCCAGAGCATAATAGAACCTAGAGGCCAAAAGAGCATGGAGATTGTGAACAGAGACAGGAAGAGCAGGGTAGGAAGAGATCCCAGGCATACAGGGTGTAGTAACAGATGCCATCTGGCTGCTCTGACTCTACTCAGTTCTGGATCACATATCCAAAGTGGACTGCAGCAGCCAGGAGTGGTAGAGACGAATGCTTACAGCTCAGACACTTGCAGTGCAGAGCAGGGACTCCTTCAGTTCTGACCTATAGCCCAGACTCAAGCTTGCAGTTGAATAACCAGAGTAGAAATGCCTTGTAGTTCAGTCACTCTGAACCTGCCAACCTGCCTCCCTTTCCAGTGGGCTGATAGTGGTTTACTCCTGGAATATGCAACAAGGGACAAGCCACCAGGCCCAGATCTGGATCAGGAACATGCAGATCTTAGACCAGGAGGTCAGTGAGCATATTTTGTCCTGGATCTCATTACTTTGGAATTACTGAAAACTAACAGATCCCTGAGCTGAGCTCCCCTTTAAGTCCTGGACTAACACATGAAATAACTCCATGAAAGCATCAGAAAGACTTTTGTGGACTTAAGCTCAGTCCATCCATTCTCCCCAGAGGTATGTAGAGCCTAGCCCTAAAATAAAGTCTCAAGTCAAGAAGTAGAAGAATGAGCTAACAAAAAAAGAATCCCACTATAAAAAGAAATTATGGTAACAGAAAAGCTCGACACAAATCTGAAAGAAGAAATTAACATCTAAACCTCTACAGGCAAAGCCTCAAAAAAAAAATGCAGCTTGCTTACAAATCCTGCTAGAATTCCTAGATGAGATAAAGTATAGTTTTTTTAAAAGTCTAAAAAGTGGGGCAGCTAGGTGGTGTGGTGGATAGAGCACCAGCCCTGAAGTCAGGAGGACCTGAGTTCAAATCCGGCCTCAGACCAAACACTTGACACGTACTAGCTGTGTAACCTTGGGCAAGTCACTTAACCCCAATTGCCTTACCAAAAAAACAAACAAACAAACAAACAAAAGTCTAAAAAGTGATTTTAAAAAAACGAATGAGAATGGTAGAGGAAAAAAATAAGAAAAGAAACGAGAGCTATGGAAGCAAGATAAGGAAAGACAATAGCTCAGAACAAAAGGCACAAAACCTTACCAAGAAAAATTACTACCTGAAATTAGAATTGATCAAATAGAAGCTAATGATCAAAAAATATTGAAAAGAAAGTCAAAAGACTGAAAAGAAATAGAAGAAAATGTAAGATATAGTGAATACAACTGACCTGGAAAACAGATCAAAGAGAGGTAATTTAAGAGTCATTGAACTGCCTAAAAACCATGAGAAAAAAAAAGCCTAGACATTGTATTTCCCCTTAATGTAACCTCTCGGAGGGCTGGAAGTATTTCTTCTTTGTATCTTCAGTGGTGGGCACCCAAACCAAACCAGCTGTGGGCACTGGAGATACAAAGACCCATCCCCCCCCCCAAAAAGTAAAAATGGTAACAATTCCTGCCCTCTGGGAGCTTACCTTCTACCTGCAAGGAGGTTGAAAGGTCATACTGAAAGAATGACAGAGTTTCACGGAAAAGGATAATCAGTCATAGTTTCCTGAAAGTTGAAGATGGGTGGGCAAAGCATTAAGAAACCAGTCAAGGGTAAAGTTTGGGAGAAGGGATGCCCAGAGGAAGCTAAGTTTTGCCATATCCTTCCAGAATGTATGCTTATGGAAACATACCGCTGTTCATTATTCCTCTCCTTATTCATTTCTGTATCTGATTCTTCTCTCACCCTCATATGTAATTCTGAGAAAACTGCTCATATCAGTGTCATTGGTTGCTTTTGTTATTGTTTACTGGCCTTGAGAGGCTGGATAATCCATTTCCCCTCAATTTACACTTTCCAGTGTGATGACATGTTTAGAATGACTGATTAGTACCAGAGTTAATCCTTCCTAAGAAATAACAAGACTTATACTTTGTAAGATAATTATGTTTATAGTGATCAGGAATGAGAGTAGCTGTGGAAGCAGCTTCAGTAATAGGCATATCTTGGGGAAAGTCAAAGGATTCCGACTTAAAGATCTCAAGGAATGCGCTGAAACAGGAACGACAAATCAAAATATCCAATGTGAGCATGAGGCTTTAAAGTGAACATCCTTGGGTAGCATGGAGTAAGAATGTGAACTACTAGAGGGTGTAGTTTAAAAAATAAAAAAAATCCTTGTAAAAGTGAATTGGTTAATAATTCATGCATTTTTTTTTCTCCCATCTGCCTGTGGGTACCTTTACACACAGGAAAATTAGGTGGATTTGCTCAAGAAAATAACACCATAGATTCAGGAGAACTTGATATTGGCCGGAGAGCGATTCAAGAGGTTCCTCCGGGGATTTTCTGGAGATCCCAGCTCTTTATTGATCAGCCACAGTTTCTTAAATTCAATATCTCCCTCCAGAAGGATGCACTGATTGGAGTATATGGCCGCAAAGGCTTACCACCTTCCCATACCCAGGTAAGAGGAGCTCACCTGTTGTGGTCAGTGAGATGAAAACTACTGGTTTGCTTTCTTTTTTTTTTTAAGTTATTCAGCTTTCTGACTTCAGCCATATGTCAAACTAGCGCTTTTTGCATCAATCCGTGGTAGTGGGGGAAATTGTAAATGAAGGTCACATTGGCTTCTGTTTTCTTTCTTGTGAGATTATTACATCTGCTTTTGGAAGAAAAGCATTTTCTTCTGATCTTGATCTGATCATTTTCATAAATATAGATGTAGCAAAATATAAAAGCGAGCTAATCCAGGGTAAGAATAACTTCAGCATACGGTTAAATGTTTAAACAAATAATAATAGTAAGAGCTTTGTAACCAGCCTTAAAATGTGCAAAGAACTTCTGTTACTATATTCCTGTGAGGTAAGGAATGCAAGTATAATTTAGGTCCCCCTGAGGCTCTGAGACAGAAAATTATACGTCTAAGGTCACACAACTAGTAAGGGTCACAACCAGAATCTGAACCCAAGTCTCCTAACTCAGACACCAAGGGTGTTTGCTCAGCCAAAATAATAGTAAGGTGATTGGGGTTAAATATCCATTTTATTAGTATTTATTGCTTATTATTGATATTAATAAGTAATATTTTGTTAATTATTTAGTATTAATATGTTGCATATATAGATGTTAAATTGACAAATTAGTAACGTATTTCACATCTTGATTCATCTTCTTGAATATGTTACACATTTAGACCCTAATTGTGACACTTTCTGTCTGTTAATTAATAGACTGAAAATTGTAGTATTGGAAATTGTACCAGGATGGTTGTTTGTATCCTAAAATTTGAAAGCTGTCCAAATCATTAACTCATGCCATTACTTAAGAAATAAATCATGGGAAAGTAACAGTGTCTGTAGAGAAGCAAACATAACATCATTCATACATTGTAGCCTAGTATAATGTGAAAAGCACTGTTTATGGAGTAAGAAGACCCGTGTTCATATCCTGCCTTTGATATTTAATACCTATGTGACCTTGGGCAGATTACTTAACTTCCCTGGGCCTCAGTTTGCTCTTCTGTAAAATGAGGGGATTAAACTTCATAGCCTCTGAGGTCCTTTCTATCTCTGATTGATCCTAAATTCAACTTTCCTAAGAATACACATTCCTAAAATGTTAGCATTAAAAGGGACTTCACTTCATCCAGCCTCTTGCTAATGTGATAAAGCTTTAAGCACATCCCTGACATTTAATCAACGCCCTTCTGCAAAGAGGAACTTACCACTTATCACAAGGTGTCTACTCCATAGTCGTAATAATTACATTTGTGGCACATATGTTAAAAAATTAGGGTAGGAAATTAGTCATGTGTTTTTTATGTCCAAAAATAAAAATTACCTACATTTAAAATATAAAACTGAGGCAAAGCTGTTTTCCAAGGGCAGTTATTTACTTAAGTAAATAGGGGTTCTCAAAATGGGAACTTTTGTCAAACTGCAAGTAGACTGGGCTTTTAGATGGGCGTCAAAGACAATAATGAGTTTCCTTATTTAGGAAAGCTGTTTTGTTTTTAGCATAACATAAAGAATAGCACTAAAGAACTATTTGTGCATACTATGTATAGCTTGCTTATTTTTTGTAATGTAAAAGCATATTCATAATGTATAATGTAAAAATGTAATTCAATTCAATAAATTTTATTAATGCTTACTCTGTGCACGGTAATGTGTTAGGAATGCAAATATAAAAAAATGACTATTTCCTACCTACAACTAGCTTACGTTCTTCTCGTAAAGAATGATATGTATAAAGGTATACTTGATGCAATGGGGAAATCCAGACAAAGTACTTTAGAAAATTTTGAGAATACTTTCAGCTGGAGGATTTGGGAAAGGGTTATTAGGACGACTGATAACTGAGCTAACTCTTGAAGGAAAAGAAATATTACCATAGGCAAAGATGAACAAAAAGTACATTTCAGGAGGTAAGGATGGCCTTTATGAATGTATGGAAGGCAGAGATGGCAAGTTGAGTTTGGGGTATGTGTGGTCCTTTAATTTGACTGAATATGAATCAGTGTGAAATTAAACTAGAATGATAGGCTGAAGTCACGTTTTGATAGGCCTCAATTGACAAGATAAGGGAGCCTTTGAAAGGTTGTTGAACAATGAAGTAACATGATCACATCTGGGGCAGCTAGGTGGCTCAGTGGATAGAGCACCGGCCCTAAAGTCGGGAAGACCTGAGTTCAAATACGGCCTCAGACCAAACACTTGACATGTACTAGCTGTGTGACCTTGGGCAAGTCACTTAACCCCGATTGCCTCACCAAAAAAAAAAACAAAAACCATGATCATACCTGTGTATAAGAAAGATTAATTTATCTTTCTTTAAATTAATCTTTTTTAAGAAAGATTAATTTATCTTTCTTTAAATTAATCTTTTTTAAGAAAGATTAATTTATCAACTGTATAACTGTAAAGGATAGATTTGAAAAAAGAGAGGTTAGAGATAGGAAGAGTGAATAAGAAGTTGTCTTGGGCAAAAGATGACGAGGGCCTGAGTATGGTAGCCTGGAAAGAAAACAATCAGTTGGTCAACAAACAATTGAAGGCATACTATGTGCCAAGCAAATGTGAGAGATCTTACCAGGATCAAATCAAAAAGCAATTAATTGCACATGAGATATGAAGGAATGAGAAAGAGTCAAGGATGACTGAAATTTCAAGCCTGGTGGGTGACTAGGAAAATGATAGTGCTTTCAAGAAAACAGGGAAGTTGGGAGGAGAGGCAAATTTGGGAGTAAAGATGAGTTTCTTCCTGTATTAGATGAGTGTCGTAGTAGGTAGTACCTTAGGTTCGATGTACGATAATTCTATGATGAGTTCAATTTTGGACAAAATGAGTTTGAAGTGACAATGGGACATTACCTAGAACTAATGTGTAGCTGAAGCTAAGGTTCTTGTGCTCAGGGTACACATTAAACCTATAGAGATGGATGGATGGATAGATAGGTTGATAGATTGACTAAATTTTGATTTAAGATAACTGAACTCGTATGAGTGAAGAGAATGTGAAAGGAACTTTGGGGTACCTGTAGTTAAGATGGAGGATAATTAACCAAGAATTGAAGAAGAGACAGTCTGAAAGATGAGAGAAGAACCAGGAAAGAGCTCATAGAAGCCAAGAGAGGAGAGGACAATAAGGAGAAGGGCATGATCAGTGTTCAGTGCTGCAGAAAGGTCAAGGAAGATGAACAATGAAAAAGGGCTACTGGACTTAGCAGTTAGGATGTTATTAGTAATTATGAAGCAAAATTATGCATATTACATCACATTTTTTAAAAAAAATTATCCTTAAAAAGATTATTTGACAAGAAATATCAGAGAAGATCCTCTGTAGATTGTCTAATAAAAGGTACATTTAATTATATGGCTGTGGAAATTGTGAAAATCACATCAACAAATACTTGAATCAATAAGGAAAACACACATTCATGCACATGATTAAAATTTTTCATCTCTATATTTCAGGAACACTCAAACCTTATAAGACAAATATGGCACCATATTTGACATTAATTCTGTTTAAACTACCCTACAATCTCCCTGTAAGGCTCTCTTTATAATTCTTGCTGCTGTTGTAGGAGGACTCAATGAAAAGTCCTTTCAGTAAGTCAACCTCCTCAAAGCAAGCTCGAGACTGGCTGTGTGTGTCAGAGAGCAGTCTCTGTTTATGGTGAAAGTGTAGTGGAATTTGTCAAAGTGTGAAAATTGTCTTCATAGTCACCACTTAAATAATCAAATGGATTTTCTACAACTTTTACAAAATCTACTACTAAACTGAGCCTGACAATGAGCATGCAGCCCAGAAGATAAACTGAAAATAAGAAGTACAAAGGAATAAGGAGAAGATTTAAGTCACTAATGCAGTAAACTTAATCCGTCTCATCAGAAAATTGCAATAAAAATGGTTTTGCAGTTTGAGACCCCTAATCCATACAAATCTCTTCATCTCTAAAGCTGTATTGTACAAGGGGTGCAGCAAATGTAGTCTTTGTCATGGGCTGAGTCCTTCATCCAATGTTGGGTTTAAGATTTTGAGGTGAGGAATATGGTTCTACCATGATTTGATAAAGTTATGGGAGGGTAGAGTAGGCAGGAAACAGGTAATTCAATCCTGTCCTTTTACAGGTAAGAAATTTGAGGCTCAAATAAGTTGAGTAACTTGTTCAAGGTTGTAAAATGAATTAGTGATAGAGCCAGGACTAGAATACCAGTTTCCATTCTTTTGCACTATAACTTGTTGTCTCTAGATACAAATTAAAATAAGAATCCAGAAATTTAGTTCAACTCAAGCTTATGAATGAGACACAACACATCAATACTTTAATGGGCTAGTACTCTCACTGATGTAGGCATTCTCTCTGTCAGCTGATCAGCAAGCATTTATTATGTACCAGGTACTGTGCACGGGGTTGGGAATACAAAGATGAAAATGACAGTCCCTGCCCTCAAGGAGCTTACATTCTTTCTTCCCATAAATCTTCTGGTGAGGATCTATATATGCTGGAAGTCCTCCCTTGGATCTTTTAACATTCCAGAGATACTTAGAGCTCTTGAAATATCTACCTGCTATCCCTCACTCTTGCTGTATGCCCGTCTTCTTTCCTGATTATTCATTTTCTGGTTATCTTTTCCACTGCTTTCTTGTAAACAGTCATTGTTGATGACATACTAAGGCTGTTTACTTTAGGTCCCCCCATTGCCCTTTGGAGTCTTTGAAGAGTCTGGTGGTCCATGACTCATAATATCATTGGGAGAATATTGATATTAAAATGATGGGTTTTATGTCCAGGAGTCTCCAGGGATTGTTGAAAGTGATACATAATTTTTCAAATACAATCCAGCCCAGTTTCTTCCTCATTTCTAATTCTAAGCCCAGCTTATTTTCCGACTGCCGTACCTTTTCAAGTTTAAATGGACCGATAGATTGGCACAGAGTACTGCTTATTTAATTATA